TATCTGTCTGTGCATGGCTTAGTCCTAGGTGCAACCTGTCTAAATCTCGGAGGAAACCCCTGTGCTGGGCACACGGGCAGTGTGGTATCTGCTGCCCAACTGCTCTGGGCCCTGTGCAGCTGCTGTGTCAGAGGGACGGGGTCTTCTCTTCCCCACTGGCTCCCACAGGGTGCACATCTGGTATAACAGAACCTTTAGTGAGTCGGAAGCCAAGCAGAAAATCTGAAAGTGCCTGAGGGTTAGAGGATAAAGCAAGATGAGGCCTCAGGCAAGGAGCGGAAATGTTAGGGTTCAAAGGAGGAGGAGCGTCACCCAGGAGACTGGAAAGTGCCGCGGTGCTGCTTTGGGTTCCGAAGGTGCCCTTGCTGAAAGAGGTCGGCAGCTTCCGGTGAGGGGGCAGGGCTGCACGCCTGTCATCCCAGCACTCGGGGAGGCTGAGGCAGGAGAACTGGAAGCTGGAGCTCAGTCTGCGCGGTGTAGTGAGAACTTGCCTCAAAATAAAAAACAGACAAAAGGGCTGGGGCGTGGCTCAGCGCGCAGGGCTCCGCCCCTAGTACCAAAGGAGAGGGCGGCGGAGGGAGGGAACAGTCTGAACTTCCGTTTATTGAATGCAGCTTTCGCTGGTCACATGGCAACTCGGTACAGACAGCCCCGGGAGGAGGGCACCGCCTCTTCTCCTCAGTGTAAACACAACATGAACAGTGAAGAGTAAAGAAACGGTAAAAGTCCAGCGTCCTCAGTCTGTGGGGCGTGCGGGTGCTGCTGCCAGGTCAGTCCCGGGAGACCGAGGCTGGGACTTCCTCCCACTCCCGACTCCGATCTCCTGCGGCCCCACGCAGCCCCGTGAGTCTCCAGAACTCGGCTCCCAGGCCACTCCAGTCCCCCAGGGTCATGCGCTCCTGGCCTCCTCCCCGGCCCTCCCCTCGAGGACTGGTCACTGTCCCCAGGGCCTCACTGCCCCCGGCCCCTCAGCGCAGGGAACTCCGTGCTCCGGGCCCCGGCACCACCCCTGGAGGAAGCAGCCCGAGCCCGAATATCCGCGGGGACCCTTTCCCTCATGTCCCTGCTGACGGAGGCGTGCTGGTGGAGGCAGTGCATTTTCCTCTAGAGCCTTGAAGGACCTGATTTTCCGTTTTCCCAGACCAAAATAAAGCAAAATCCCCCAAACTAAAACAAATCAAAACAAAATAAGAGTGACTTTGAGGATAAAGAACCAACCAACCCTCCTCCAGGTCCCCGCAGGTGGGTGCCACGTCGCCGGGGGCTTTCCCCAGTGGCTACGTCATACCCTTGGCCTGCTGTCCCCGGGGCCCCGGCTGCACCGCACAGCACAGAGGAACGTTTCCTCAGGGAAGCCACGCCGTGCTCTGGTCTCCTGGCGTGCCCGTGCCCATGCCCGTGCCCCGCACCTGCCACTGCCTCCCCAGCCAGGATGGACCCGTGATTGCCCACACGCCCTCCCATGTCTGCGGCTCTGTGGAGAGAGGAGA